TGAATACGTGTTATCAGACAATATTGTTCTTATTATCTGCATTAGTATGCTCGTAAATCCCGTTAACAACGTGCTAAAGTAGTACGACTGAAATCGCATTGTCCCTACTTTGCATGCCGGTCTTGCGAGTAGAGAAGGGGCAGTGAGTGTGGAGGAGGCTACTTCCGCAGGGCGCGGGGCGCTGGGCGGAGCTGCACGTAACGGCAAGATTTCTCCTCGCCTCAGCCTCAGCCCGAGCCCTAGTCAGGCGCAGCCGCGGGGGCTGCAGAGGGCGGGGCGGTGGGAACGCAGCGCGCCAGGCGATGACATAAGCGGCGGCGGCGACGGCGAGAGTGCGCATGCGCCGGGCCCTCCTGCACGGCGTAGTGCACGCTCCCGGATACTCCGCGGCGGAGTGCAGCGCAAACTGATTTTGGTGTGAGATTACCTTGTAGCTTACACATGGCCGTCTCTACTTCGGTACATACGAAGTAAGGATGAATCAAGATGACCACTAGACTTCGCAGTTTTCGGCCCCTGAAATAAGACAATATGGTGTATAATTTCTTAAATCTAAAAGTGCTCGCATTTAAATAGGGAGGTTTGACTTTCCCATATAAGTTTTATTTTATGTTATATAATATGACTTTTTTGAAACGCATGAGCATGAAATATTAAATCATGAATGACATTTTTACTCGTATTTTTCTGATTAACAAAAAAAATATATTTCTATTGATGATTAAGGAAACTGGATTGATTTTCTACTCCGTTGTGAGTCTTACTTCATCGATTGCTCACCTTTGTCACAACCCGGACACTTAGGGTAAGATATTTGTGCACATTCTCATTGAGAAGCTAAAAGGAAAGGAACTCAATAAAGAAGAAAATTAATTACCTATTTTGGTAATTAATTAATTTAAAAAATTCATTTAAATAAATCTAAAAATACATACATTTGGGCAGTTTCTCCATTTTGAGGCTAATAAACCTCAATTTCTCAATTTCTCCCAAACCTGGAAAGACCTGCCGTCTTCCACCATCATTACGGTAGCAGCAGCGGACAGAGAAGCGTTTTAACCTCCCCGCACTAACATTCCCCGCGGCTCCGATTGTTGGGTTGCAATCGCATGGTGCTGTATTGCCCCCCTGCGCCAGCCCCCCTGCGCCAGGCCCCCCTGCGCCAGCCCCCCCTAAGGGCAGCCCACCTGGCGCCCCCCTTATGCGCCAGCCCCCCTACGCCAGCCCCCACCCTACGCCAACCCCTACCGCCAGCCCCCCCTACGCCACGGCCCACACCTACGCCAGCCCCCCCTACGCCAGCCCCCCCTACGCCAGCCCCCCTACGCCAGCCCCCCTACGCCAGCCCCCCTACGCCCAGCCCCCCTACGCCAGCCCCCCTACGCCAGCCCCCCTACGCCATGCCCCTAAACTCTCGCCAGCACCTCTGCACCAGCCCCCCCTGCGCCAGCCCCCTACCCCAGCCCCCCTACGCCAAGCCCCCCTAAGCCAACCCCCCTAAGTCACCCTCCCTAAACCAGCCCCCCTAAACCTAGCCCTCCCTAAACCAGCCCTCCTTAACCAACCACTCCAACAATCTCCCCCCTAATGCCAACCCCCCCATAAGCAACCCCCCCTAAGCCAACCCTTCTCAGCCAGCCCCCCTAAGCCAGCCGCCCAGCGCCATCCTCCCTGCACTACGCCGCCTGAAACCGGTCGGGCCGCGAACGCGGATGTGCTCAGACTGCGTTGCCCCGCCTGACCTACCTACGTTCCCTCAAAACCTCCTGCGCCCGTCCTCCCCGCCCCGCAGTACGACAATCGCTCCTTCCACGCTCAGTGAGGACAACTCGTCTGCGCCCAGGCCACACGCGCTGCTTTATTTACGCGAAATTACCACGATGCACCGCAGAAAGGAGACATACGAGATTAAGATATTTTCATTACTTTTGAATTTGTTCACTGATAATTTCATTTTTTGCTACAATGGTATATAACTTTGTTTCTGGCTCAGCAGCGTGATCGGAATTGCGCCCCACAAGGCGTGGGAGTACACAAAGCCTGAGGTGAAAACAATGATGAGAGAGAAATCTCTATTAATTAGAAGGAAAACTACATTTTACTTTTCAATTTCCGAACAGCTACTTCTATCGTTCATTTAATGAATTACAAATGTGTTTTATTTGTCATTTTGTTATAATGATTTATTTTTAAAATACGGTAACTTAATTTTTGTCCTGTTGTATTCAATAATATTTTCACCTGTGTTAATGCCTCTCGTGTAATTGTAGAGAATATTGTCACAATCATATTTCTGTGTTCTTGGGAGTGTTTGCTTTTAAATTTTATAATTGCTTCATATTGTTAATCAGTACTTATAAATCAATAAAACATAAAATTGCTTTCGTGTTTAAGTGATTAATCTGATAACGTCTGTATTTTTTGCATATACATTATCTATCTGTGAACAAGAGATTTTTAAAATTAAGAATTTATTAACTTTACTTATAGGTTATTTAAACCTAAGGTATGCTGGAACTATTGAGAATGGCATAGCATCCTATACAGCTTTTTTCACACAGTTTGCATATTTTGAATTTAGAAATTGATATTTTTGGAAATATACAATATAATTCTAAATGAGATTGCATTTACTTGATAAAAATACATTGCCTAGTGTCACTTGCCTGAAAGATCGAGATGTACTTGCAAACAAGACTATAATACATTATGATACGAGAAAATGGACTTTTCAGCAATGAGGATTTCAATATTAATTTACATTTTCTTTAAAGACAATCTTCTACACGAGCGAGGAACTTTACTTTTTGTTTCTTCTCCTTCATCCGCATTCCATCTTCCAACTTCTTTTTACTAATCTTCTTTCGGGCACCTACCAACTTGGCAGAAACTAATTTTTCCTCGGGTGTTTTTCATTCGTCGTATTTCACGCAGCATTTAAAGTATGACATTGCATTTCTTGACCGTCTTTATCTATGGTGAAGGCTGAAAAGAAAACTCGTATACCAGATATTTACCTTGGCATTTTGACTGTTTTTGTGCCAGCTGGCGCGCGGGGTAGGGTCGAGCGCGGACACAACGTGACTTGTACAATGCCGCTTTGGCTCATCCGGCCCGCGTTCGCATCCCAGCTGAGCAGCTCTTTCCACGAGTGACATCATCGTCCAACGCCTCACGGCCTCTGGCTGCTTCCCCGCCTGTAATCAAGGTCTTGTTGCTGAACTGCCTCGCTTGCAGAAAGTACTGAACGACGAGAACGCTCGTTGTCCAGCAGTTTATGGTCGATTCTTGGCTGACAGAATAGTGTGAAGGTTCAGACATCAGACCCAAAATTTGTTATTAACCCGAAAGGCTTTCTTGATTTTTCTTTTAGATCAGATACGCTAATATTTGTCACTCTGCCAACCGAAACAAGTGCTCAGATCAGTAAATTCCCGTCCATGTCAAACGTTTGTCAACCAATAAAGCTGTTTTCCATGTTGGGAAGTACTAATTAGTTCTAAAGAAGTTGATACACTATCGATCAGTAATGTTAGAAGATAAGGGAGGAAGAAGGATAGTCAGTCAATTGTATTATTTATAGGAGGTAAGTTCGTTGAAAATACATTTTTTTCATTTAATTTACCTTTCAAAATGCATTTTATAAGTTCAATTTTTGAGCTATTCATAAAGTGGTTCTTTTTCCTGTATCAAAGTAACGTGAGCAGGTAGTACATGAGTGGCGAGCAACAAATATCTAGATTTACATAAAATCTCTTAGCATAATCTGTATATTAATTCAATACAACAAAAAACATGGCTTTAGTAAAACAAGATAGGGAACTTCTCTGCTGACGTGTTTGAAGGGGCGCGGTTCAGCATTCCTGGGAACGCGTTGAATTATTCCCCATGTTATTGAGCCTATCAAATTAGCTTTAAATCATCGCAACAGGAGCAATTAATCGAAGCGCAGACACATAACATTACACATTTACAGGTTTCTCTGGCATCTGAAACGCTTGGCATTCCAATCAATACGTAAATATGAAATAGTATCCCAATGCGCGAACGTTCATCAAAAATAATGAACAGAAAACGTCCACATGGGCGCGAAGCGAGGCCGGACCGCAAGCAACTAATGAAAATTCATTCCCATCGACCTCGAACGAACAAAACTCGACACTCGTAGATCGCCGCAGCGTCGACCACAGGTTCACGATCTGCGTGGATGGATTTAGCGGGTCAGGGTTTCGTTTCCTCGTAGAGGCCAGCGCGTGGTTTGCCGCGATAACCGCGGCCACAGAGACCCGGAATCGAGGTTACGTGTTCGAAATGCACAGGTTTGAAGTATGAAGGACGCATGACAGATTGTCTGACAGGGATATTTGTCCTGTATGTTCCACAAATAGGCGAGAAAATCTGGTCACGCCATGTAGGCAGGAAGAGGGCGAGATAATACACACATGTACTGAGGTAGCGGTCATTGCTCGAAACTCCTAGGCGTGTTTCTGAAACACGTTGTTGAAGGCAGTGTCACACAATTACCATTTACGTAGTATCAACTACATAAAAAATTGAGTGTAAAAGCATTATAATTGAGATTTGTAAAATTTAAAAATGCAATTGAAGTGACGCCAAGGGCAGCTTTAAGGTACTACTTTAATAAAAATCCATGTAAACTACCTCTACTTAAATGTCTAAAAATTAAATATTTGTAGCATCGCTCGTGGGCTGTATTAGTGGCACAAATAAAAAAATACAAAAAAATTCAGTTAACGCCCTCTCCAGATTTGCAGATAGGTGCACCTTCCTGCAGCAACAGCAGCCTAACTTACAGTCCACCAACAAATAGCACAAGAGTGAAATTACGTATTTTAATACAAGGTTGAAAACTTCAAAAGTAATTTATCTCAACATCTGATTGTTTTAGTTGGGCCACTATTACAGCCCATGAAAAATATGAGGCTGTTGTACATAGAACCACCGTCAGAAACGCGTCCTTTTCACGAAACGCAAACAAGGAACCAAATACGTGCGCGACGCACCGAGTGCGTGGGTTCCTCGTAACCGCATCCCTGGAAAACGTTGGAGACGCGAGCAGGAAGGCGCTACAAAGACACGGTTTCCTCCGTGGCTGGCGGAGGTGCCTGCGACAACCACACCGCCCGCATTGTTCGAGGCGGGCGCGCGCTCAGGTGGGCCGCCGCCGCCGCCAGGGTCGCGAGCGAGACAAAAGGCCTCGCGAGGCGGGCACGGAGCGGCCACTGCCCCGCAGGCTCGGGCCCCGCCCTGCCACGCGGCGCGCCGGGCGGGGGCCGGGGCGGGATATCGGGCTGTGGGTGTGGCTCGGCGCTTGGGCCGCCGCGACGGGGGACGGCCATGCGGCAAGGCTACATGTTTAGCCTTTGATTTCATTCTTGCAACTGAAGCGCGTGGGGAATGTCGCATGTGATAATTGAAGATGAAGATGACTGTGCCTTTGCAGCATTGATCTCCGACAACAGTCGTTGTTCATGAATCTTTAAAGATCATATAACTAATTGGATAAGAACTGAACTTAGAGTGTGTCCCGGCTGGGGCGGCGCCCCGCTGGTGGGAGACACCTGGTTAGGGAAAACACCGCAAGCCGACGGGGCCGGATCTTGCCATCCAGCGGGGCAATATCACCGCCACTACACTTACGGGACTAATGACCTTAACATTTGGCGCGCCTGGGATCACTAGTAATCAATCACTCAATGAATCCATTAAAGATGCCCTTTCGTTCGGGCAGAGCGCGTGGCTGAGGGCGCGACGCGGCGTCTGGGGCCGTGGGCCGCGTGGTCGTCGCCGGCGCAGCCGCCCGAATGCGCACCTGTGGGGCGTGGGCGCTTTCCCTGTTGTTCGGACTTGTTCGCGTCTGCGCCGCAAGTAGGGCAGAGACGCCTTGCTTTCCAACGCAACACTTTGTTCTCGGATGTGTTAACACACGCCGTTCTGTGCGTAGGATATTATTGTTTCAACATTGTTTAGTACACACATTTTCACACTCGTGAAATTATTTATTTGTTGCACATCCTGGTAGTATTTTGATCGAAGTGCAACTGTACGAGGGGCAACGAAATTGTTGGTTGAGAGTCGCTGAATGATGTGTAATATTATTGATAAGTCAAATGGGGAATATGGTAACCAAAGATTGGGCAATAATTATGAACTGTTTATGAATGACCACGCTGATACCATTTCCCCAGGGCGCCTGGCCACGAGCGTGATTGAATCTGGAAAACGTTTGCTAATACGAGTGTGTCCCCAATCTTGAGCGAAGATTAATATTCGTCGTGTATGGCTGAAAGCGCGAACAGCAGCAATTCTTTTGTATATGTTACGTAAATGACTTTTTGTGGCACACTTTACTCAGCGATAATATCGAAAATTCCTTTAATCCTTACAATGCGTGTGAATTTCTCCTTAACCCAGAAAAAAGTTTTCCTGCTCTGTAAAAGTCTCCATCAGATGTCTGACTGAAACAATCTTTTTGAAATCGATCTTTGTTGGGTAACTTACTTTCACATCTTTGTGTATCACTAAACTACACTGTCAGAAATATCTGCATTACTTCAATGTAAATGCAATGAAAGTAATTATTATGAACTCACACAAAATTGAATGTACACATGTACATTAGCTTACAACAGTCAAAGCTTAATGATCGTATTTTGAATGAATGAATGATCTTCATGGACTGGTGATTATGAATAAATGATATGAATGATGAGATGCAGGGAAAACGGGAGAATCTGTACATTAAATCTACATTGATTTTTAATTTAAAAATATTTATTTAATGCACAAATACATTAAGCTATTTTTAATGTGCAGTATACATTAAGTTTCATGTACATTAATACATTCACCTGCGTTAAATTTAATAGCATTCCTGACAGAGTAGCCAATGAAAACGTAAATCTGTTACTTAAAGCACACAGAGGCCGCGCCCTCTACTTTGTCAACCCCTCATGTCCGAGTACTACATGTCGGCATCCCTCAAAAGCCGGCTTTGTTTGATAACTTACTTTCACATCTCAGTGTATCACTAAACCATGAAAACGTAAATCTGCTACAACACAGAGACCGCGCCTCGTGCTGTGTCAACCCACGTCAGAGTACTACAAGTCTACTTCCCTCGACAACCTAGTAGGGGCACAGCGGCACTCCGTTCTATCAATCATCCCCGTTGTTCGCGCAGCAGCTCCGCAGCCGCCGTTGCGAAACAAGGCGCGTTGAGTCCCGCGGGCAGTTTTCTCTCCGCCAGAGGCCTTATTGTAAACATTACGCAACGCGCCGCGCTTCTGCGCTGGGAGAGGGGCCGCGAGAGCACGCGAGAAACGCGCCGAAGTCACGCGTGCCTCCGCACGGCACCTGCTGCGAACCGCCGGAGACGAAACGCGCGCGAAATGTCAGGAGGCCGATAACGGGATTCGGTCGGTGGTTCAGCAGTCGGAGGGGAAGTCCTGCGTTGAATGGACTGCTGAAGGAAAACGGGGGGCCTCGGCCATCTTGGCCCAGGTCGGCATAAATCACCGATCTCTCGTTGAGATATTGGAGATAAAGAAATAATGTATGTGGGAATGAGTTACATTTCAGTAATCTGGCAGGAATGATAACGAAATAATTTACAATCTCACCCCCGTTACAAAAATATGTAACTTATTAATTTCATTACTTATACTTTGACAGTAATCGGAAGCAGTATAATGATTTCGTTCCAGAGTCTCAAAGTAAGTGGTTTCGATGAATGGTGAACCAGGCAGCCTCTGAATGGTCATTTAACAGGAAAGAATATTTCAGAACAATTGATTTGGATGAGAAAGCCATACAAATTTGTGTATTCAAAGTGAGTGATACCCAACCCTGCATTTGAGTATTCACATCACGACAATTGATTACATAGCTAGGTCGAATTCAGCCGTCTATCGAGCAGAATTCTAATGACTCGCTGCTCGGTATTTTTCTGTGGTTTCTCCAATCAGCACCAGGCGAATGCCGGACCAGTACGCTAACAAACGGCTCGCGGACCACACGCGATCTTTCCTTCCTCTTCCTCGTTATATCCTCATCTTAGTTTACTTGTTTACACAACCTTATACTTACATGCACTACACTACAACATAAGCCGGGATACCAGTCGGGAGCTTAGAGCTTGTCCCGGTAGAGGCGGGGCACCGCTGGTGGGAGAAACCTGATTGTGGAATCCTCGCTTAGCGAATGAGTAGGTCGGCGCTGGACCTCGGCATCCATCGGGGGAAGATCACCGCCACCTCCCGAGGTAGCAACATGCATTTGATCCGGGACTAATGACCTCAGCAGTGGACGGCCCGGAATCAATCAGACTGAACGTCTGGCGGCCAGGCGGGCCAAGCGGAAGGGCCGAACGACCGCGAGGGGGGGGGCGACCTCGGCGCGGGGAGGGGGAATGTAGTGCGAGGGCAGCGGCGCGGCGGCGACCTCCGCCGGATGCGGAGTCTCCTTGCGGTGCGTGCAAAGAGCGCGTAAGAGGGAGGGGGGCGCAGGAACGGAGCCGGCGGTGCAGGCGGCGCGGCGTGCGTGCTCGCCGCGGGCCCACGGCGTCTGCGAATTATGCTGATCACTCCCCTGCGCCTCTGCGGCCGGCCAACGCAAGAAACGGCGACTGCCAACAAGGGGATTGGCGACGTTCGGTATGGAGTAGTCACACGCATCGGCTTAAAAACTCTCCGTTCGATCCCCGCATTGAAAAGGAAGAAACTTCGAAAATACGTATATTTCAAGTAAAAAATATCAAAGAGCAATTTTTTTTATTGGTATAAGAACAAAAAAGCAATTAGGTTCTTTGATATCTTCATAGTTTATTATTGTATACACATTAGTTCAAGTTCATCAAAGTTACGAAATTCGAATAGCATAATTTATAACTGTTTTATTTCACAATAAATAATCGTGCACTGATATTTTCTCTAACAAATCACAAAATTAATATTCCGCAAAATGTAAAGAACGTCATACACGGTTATGTTTTTTACCAAATTTATGCATTACTACATGATTTTAATAGCATTTTGTATTGAACTTGTTGAAGACGTTGATCAGGCTCGATTGAGTTGAGTGGGCAATGCCTCATGACGTAAAATCGTCCAGTTATCACCACTGTACAGGGCTTGGGCGCTATTTGCCCTCTGCCGAATAGAGGAGTCGGAGCGAGCTCTCGGAGGCGGGCGCCTGCGGCCAGGGCAGAAACTTCGTGACGAGGGGAGGGATCGTCTCGAGGAAATCGTCTGCTTCCAGCCCACTCGCGGCTTCGACCCCTCAATTTTTGCCCATCCCCAGCGCTTGTTTGCCTTTAACGACGCCTCCTAATGCGATTGGCCTAGTTGGCCCAGCGGTCCATTTCCTGCTCCTTTCGTTGAGGCGCAGGAATTTTCCGTAGGTTTCAACAAATATGTAACAACAATGTTACGTGCTAATGCATCACTGAGCTAAATAGAGAGGTCGCTCGCAATGCTTTCAATATTTCCTAATCGTCCGAAGATATCTTGTGCTCTACACTTCTCTGGAGAGTGAATACCACTTCAACACTTGTAGACAAATACCACTGATCTTGAAGGAGCAAAAAAAGTTATTATAGAGATGAATTTAGAGGTATGAAACGGCATTATCATATTGCGTATTTTCTTATTTATATAAATGTTCGTATTCCAAATATTTTTCAATAAACAGAAAACTGAAGTTGAAACCTATTCCAGTAAAGGCAATTCCCCTTTTACCACCATTCCCTCATTACGGAACACCTCGCCTGTCAGCCATTGTCAGAGGAATGCTTTGTTTCCGTTCCCAACGCATCTTCTAGAATTCCTCATTCGTGACGCTTTTGTGAGAATTAACCGAGCACTTGACATCACCATCGGCGCTATCTTCATCACTTTTTCGTCCTCTCACGTACACCAACCCCAACAGTGGCGACAATTCCGCGTGCCCTTGGAACAGGTACGCTAGCAGCATCATTTCAGTCTCGACCGATCACGTCGGCGCTACCAGCACAAAATGTTCCCTCCCCAGTTATCACTGTCTCCACCGTGTCACCACTACAACCACCGCCACCCCCACCCCCACCCCCACCTCTTCCA